TTATACCAAGTAAATTAAACTAAATGCTAAACTTTCAAAAGTAAATTGCTGAAATAAAATAAATGTTTTTGTAGACGAAAAGTTCAAATATGAGAAAACATCATTCTCATTTACAATGAAAATATGGCTAGTGAAAAAATTGAAATCATTTGAAAAATATATTTAAAAATTATTTTATGTCAAATAGGAGCAATCTTATTCTCTACCCTCTTCCGAGCGCTATAAAGAACATTGACTAATCCAGAGTTTAGATTAGTCTCTAATTTTGTAGTTAAGCTGGGAGGATACCGGCTGTCACTCTAGAGCTCTCACTACTCCCTTCCCTGAGGGCTAACATGCTCGCATTAGTTTTCAATCAATTGAACCAAATTGGGGATTTTAATCTGTCACCTTAAAATCTTCCAATTCTACATCTAACAAAATATATATTCATATTTATTTGCACCCAATCCTATGCATGAAATACTCTCCCATGAAATCAAATGTGATTCTCCCTTTGTTGTAAAAATCATATCCCATTTTCAGAACATATAATTCTCAACACATTTTAATAATTCAATTGGTCAGATCGAAAAGTAAATGAAGATTGGAGTTCAAATCATCACAAATTATTGACATTTAAAACCGTAGAAAACAAAATCAATTATTCACAAAGCCATTTCTTCAAAGTAGGGAGAAGAATAAAGAAAACTACTCATAATTCATAAGAAGAATAAGATAAAATACAGATTTCATATATAAAAATAAGTTTACAAACAAAAGAATGAGAAGTACAACTTAACTCACAATCCTTACCAAGCAAATCCTTAAAAGTTCTCTCCAAGTCTTTCCCTCTTTACAATCTCTCCCAATTCTCTCATAGAAATGTAATGAAGAAGAAATCTCTCACTTTCTCTCTCCTCTTACAACCCTAGAAGAAAATCTCCTCCTTTTTCTCTCTCTAACTCACGCCTATCCTCTCTCTCTCTCTAACTTTTAAGTCCACCATTTCCAAGTCCCTTCAGAAGTTCCCTTTTGTTGGCTAAGTCCACCATTTCTAAGTCCCTTCAGAAGTTCCCTTTTGTTGGCTGCCTCTCCTATCTGAAAAGAGTCTCAATTTCCTCCAAAATTCAAAAGTCAAAACTTTGAATTTCAAAAGATGTGTCTCCTTGATCTAAGAGTCAAATCTCTTCAAATTGGAGCCTTCCAAAATGTCTACATGCATTGAATCACTCCATGGGGTGCTTAGAACAAGTGTCCCTTTGAAAATTAGTGTAAATTTCGTCTCAAACTGCCTTAATTTGAAAATGTCACACTTGGTACATCATGCGCCAACGCTCTAGATTTTGGCGCATCATGCGCCAGTTTGGCGCATCATGCGATAAACCCCAAAATCAACTGTTTTTGCTCCAAATTTCGCTCTTTTTAACATTTTTACTCCAAATGCTTAAAAATGGTATACTTGCAATAAAAACACAAAATTACATTTCTTTAAAGTGCAATATCACAAAAAATAGACATAAAAAGGGCACTTAAAATAATATATTATTTTTGTGGATCAGTGAACATTAAAAACACCCAAGTGAAGTGAGAATGACTATCGACAGGTAAGAGGTGATTTTTATAGTAATGTATTGATATAAAAGGGGTTGGGCCCCAAACGTCAGAATGTACCAGATCAAAACAATATTTATATGTTGAACTAGAATTAGGAAATGGTAAGCGATGACTCTTAGAAGAGTTCATTCATTACAAGAAAATGTAGAACTATGACTAATTTTTGTGATTGTGTTCAAAAATATAATAGTAGCAACAACATGATAAGGATGACCTAGCCTTAGATGCCAAATTTCAGTCAGAGGAAGATGAGGAGAATGTTGTGGCCTGTGCGGAGATGGGATAGAGGCCATCCTTGCTACGTCCTTGGAGAAGGAATTGGTTTGTGCTCTGGTCTTTGATAACATAGCCAGATTTAGTGAATGATACATCACAGTTGTTGTTGGAACTTAATTTATAAATGGAAATGAGATTGCAGGAAAGGTATGGTGAGTGAAAGAGCTGAGGGAGATAGAGCTCATGTTGAGGAGTTGGAAGAATACCCTGACCTGTGGGTGATTGGGATGATCGGATCATCGCCGATGGCTACCAAGTCAGATCCTTGGTAGTGTTGGGGATTGTGTAAATAGTCGTAGTTGGAGGTGAGATGAGCGGTGGAAACAGAATCAAGAGCCCAGTTGGCAGAACTTGGATCGGTTGATGTGGTGAGCATTATTTCAGATTTGATGGATAGATAAGGCGATGTTCCCCAATTTGCCACAAATTTGACATGAAACTCGAGGAGTGTTGTTCACGGACCTCAGTCACCGAGGTTTATGGTACATGATGAGTGTTGTTATTCCCTCGGTAATCTAGTGATGGTTTCTTATGCTCACGGTTGTTCAAGTTATTTCCCCGTATTTACAAAGCGTGGGCTGTAACATTTGTCGAGAGATTGATTTCTTCACTGAATGGTAAAGATTATAGATCATCCAGTTTGATGGGTTAGAATCGAGTATTGAAGGGTTGGTACGAAGGAGGTAAGCTATTAAAGATGTGGAGAAAGATGTCCTCATGGTCAATGGACGGCGACAACGTTATTGTAGACTAGGGATTCAATGTGAAGGAAATATTGTGACATAGATTAGTCTTTTATGGAGATGTTGGGGAGCTTGTTGCGGAGTTGAATGACTCGGGAGCAATTGGCGGATTGCAACCAACTTTGAAGAGTTTGCCAAATTTCAATGGTGGTTTCTAATTTTAGGATATTTGGTAGAATGGTGGGGGAGATGTTGGAGGAGATAGCGGCAGATAGATTTTGATTAATGAGTTGCTAACTGAAATATTAGGGATTTGGAATTAAAATTCTTTTAGAATTTGGGATTTAAGGAGGAGGGCAAATCAATGAGCCATCCAAGAAGCTTGCAAATCCATTGACCCTTAAGAACTTGAAGATATGGGGTTTCCAAGTGGGATGGTTGCATTCAGTGAGCCGAACATTGGCAATGGACTTGACATTGGACATTAAAAATTTGAGGAAGGTAGGGATGGGTGCGTCGGTTGTTTCTGGTAGGGTGGGAGGATTTCCTCAGTTTGTGTAAGAAGAGGCAGCCGACATTGAGAGTAGGTTTTGGGGGAAGAGAGAAGGGGTTAGGAAGACATAATAAAGAGAGAACCTGATTGCTCTGATATCATAAGAACTTCGCTGTTGTATTATTGATAAACAACAGAGCTGCTTACAGGAAAAACTAGAAGAAAAATCACAGGGACCAAAACTTTACTCCACTACATAATAAAGGGAAAAATTACATTGATTAGTAAGCTACATGACATATATAATACATTGAGGTAAATGAATTGTTTCTAAAAAGGTAAAAATCTGGTCTCATGTGGTCGCTAATTTCAAAGTGTAGTGGACAGCAAGTCTCTAATATGGGTGTTGTATGTTAGTTACAATATATGCCTATAGATGCACTTTACATTTTATAAATAACAAGACATTTGAATGAGAATTTGAAAAATAGATAATAAATAACAAATTTCTGATAGATCTGTTTGACCATTTTTTTACACAGGCATTTTTACATTCATACCACCAAATTCTTATGTATTAATATTAAAAACCTAAACTTCACTTTTTTACATTTATACCACCTAAATCTCTACGATGACATAAAAAATATCACCATTTCATAGGAATCCAAATACTACGTACATTAAATGTACATCCATTCTTGGTGATTTTCTTTTTTATTTATTTTAAATTATTATTATTATTTTCATTTTTTCGGTCTTCGTAATGTTTTGCTCAATAGAACTCAAAATCTGTTGCAATGTTTTCAACTTAATTCAGCTTTCGAAGGTAAAGAAATCAAAAAAATAATTAAACAATAATAATTAATCAGCAGTCAATGTTTGGATAAATTTAAGTTACTTCAAACACAAAAGCTAATGTTTATTTTAATATTAAATATCAAAATATTCAACAACATACAACACCTAAAATTGAATATTTAAATTCATAAAATATTGGTGTCATAAATCTGGAAAAATATTACATCAGGACTCCTGACGTGAAGCTACGTTCGGATTGGAATATTCGGCTGTGTTGCGGGAATATTCCATCTGCGTTATTTATAAAAATAATGTCATTCGAGTATCATATAGTGTTGTGTTTTACACCGCAAAATAAATGAATAACACCATATAATACTCGAATGACACGTCATTTTTACAAATAACGCAGATGAAATATTTTTCTAACAAAGCCGAATATTCCAATCCGAACGTAGCTCTACGTTAAGAGTCCTGATGTAATATTTTTCCCATAAATCTATGCATAAAAAGGTCTAATTCACTTCTAACAAATTAGTAATAGTAATAGTTTTAATATAGTATTAAAGATTTAAGTGATATAAAATATGAAAATTTAAATCTTAGATATACAATTACATAAGAATTGTGTGGGATGCATGTAGCTAGCTTTGTTCAGTTACACCAATCGCCTGCTATGTTTTGTTCAGTTAATCTATTCACCAGTTAAAACAAGAAGGATCAATAAATAAAATGTAGCAACAGTTTACTAGGTTCACATTTCTCTAATGACAAACAAAATTCAATTAAAATACAAAACTGACAAGTAAAGGGTTGTGATTTTAAAGAATAATAATGAAGATGTTTTTTTAGCAAGATTTACAAACATAACACTCAATTCCTACGTATTTACATATCTAACACCTAAACATCAATTTTTACATACAAATCACCTTATCATACACTAAAAGGTGTATCTCGTTTTTTACAAGTTAAAATGGTTGTACTTCTTATGTGATATGAAACATTTGGAGGGATAAATATAAAAAGGCAATGTTTAGGTGTATATATACATGAGTATTGGGTGCTATGTATGTAAATGCCTTTTTTTTCTAATGCAAGAGAAACAAACTAGAATCGAAAGAAAAAAAAAAATCAAACTTTGTCTCTCTACATATAACATATATGTAAATATAAGAACAATAATATTGTTTCAAAACTTTTCCACAATTCTAGGTATTAAATGGACTTCTGTATTCAAAAACACTTGGAATCAGCCAACATCATAGCAAGAAACAGGAAGAAATCTATACTCGTCGATTTAGAATCGATATGGAGACAAGTTCTAAATTCAAGAACACTCACAATGAACCTTTCTTCATGAAAATTGATAATTTGAATTAAGCATAGAACTTGAGAGAACCAAAGCTACAAAACTCTGCTTGCTACAAAGAGCGAAGATGCAATAGAGTAGAAAACCTTGCAATTGTTGAATAAATAGTCTTTATAAAAAAAAAGGTTGAGATGCCAAATTTTATGCATTTTATTTCTTCAGGTGGTGCTCAAAAAGTGATGCCATCTCAATCTGTTTCAATAAATAGAGAAACGAAAATTTTATTGATAAAATTCATTAATAAAAAGGGTTAGTGTAAATGGCATGAAAAAGTGTGAGCTTACTGCAGTTAAGGCAGCCTCTGAACCCTTATTTCCAGATTTGCCTCCAGCACGGTTAATGGCCTGCAATGTAAACAAAGGTTTTGACGTCTAGAAATCAAATTTTTCTACCAGAAAGGAAACTATCAATGCTGATTCCTCTGTTAGTTCCTGTGAGGATTATAGAAACATTTATTAAGAGTTTATTGACTAGTATTCTTCCATATACATACCACCCAACTCTTAGGTATTTACATTTCTGTTGATCGCAAGGTTTTAAGAAAAAAGAGAGAAAAATAAAGAAATAAATTGATAGATTGATTTAAATTGATAACTGCTCTCGCTTTCCTTCCTTCAGTGATAAAGACCAATTTGTTCCCACTTATCCTTCCCAATTCATAACTCCCCTTTGCTTCTCCGAAAAAATATTGCATCAGGACACCGCACGTACAGTTACGTGCGGAGTCCAATGAAATTACGCCACGTAGACGTGACAAAAAAAAACGGTCTTGTAACACACGGGAATATTCCCTCATGTTATTCATGTGTTATTGTATTCTGAGAATATTTTCGATGTTATAATAACACAATAACACATGAATAACACGAATAACATACAATAAAACCTGAATAACACAGGAAGAATATTCTCTTGTGTTATCGGATATATTTTATAATTTTTTTTTTCACCGTCACGTGACGTGATTTCATTGGACTCCACACTTAACTCTACTTGTGGAGTCCTGATGCAATATTTTCTCTCTCCGCACCTGAAGTCCTCTTACTACTTTTTGGATTTCAACGAATGAAGTCTCGTTTCCCTGTTTACATCTCACACGACAAAGCCCAGAAGTCATAAGCCCAAAACCATTCTCTTCACCATACCGTGCCTTCCTCATGCTCCAGGGTTACGCGCAGCCCCACTTCTCCCTTGGGATCCCCGCTTGTAAAGACGTCCTAAGCTTATAGCAATCTCGTTGGAACCCTCTCCCTCGCCGTCCTACACG